CTGCACAGAGAATATATATTCGTGTAGATTTCATAGCTTTTATAGCTTCCATGGCTATATATAGTCTCTAATTTTTCTTTTTCTTTAATTATTTATTCTCATATGTTTCAGTATGCTAGTATGATTCGTTCTAATTTTTATTATTTTTATACTATGATATTATCAGTGAATTTAAAATTCAAATTTTAAATTATGTGCGGAATATGCATAATTTAGAATTTTAAGTGCGGATGCTTTTTAAGGGTTTTCTTGAACATTGAATTTTTAACAGCAGGCATTATTCGTGACACCTTTTATTAGTCATGCATTCAATTTTCTCTTTCACTAATCATTTATAGATTATAACTTACGCTGTTTTATCAATTTCAAATAAGTTACAAATTATCAAAATTCAAAATTATAAAATTGTAAACAAAAGAGGGGCAAGGTAATTTCAGTTCCTTTTTATATCTAAATCTAATGATCTTCATTACTGTGCCATTGCTGTGCTTACTGTACCTTACTGTGCCTTACTGTGTACTATTATTATTGGTTACTATTGTTTACTAAATATATTTGTTACTAATTAATACTATATATTAATAATTATTGTTAAATAATATTATTTGATAATAATTAATGTTATGAATTGATAGTTATGTTTGTGTAATTAAATATCACATAACACGTGATCTTGTACTACTATTTCACGACTAATTAATGTGTGCTACAGATTATAAATATTTACTAAAAGGAATTATTACATTTTCACTATTTGTTACATGAACTAATATTTATTAATTAAATTCTAAATATTATTTTAAAGGTTATTATAAATTATTACAGGTGCTTTCAATATTATATTATCATGATATTTTCATTTTGTAACAACATCAAGTTGTATAAAAATGCACCTTCCTCTAATATACGATTTAAGCATAAGTTTATGGCATCTGAAGTATCGAATACAGAATTATGGAAAGAAGAATATTATGAAGAAGGTCAAGATTCAATTATTACAGTACATAAAATATATGGTAGAGCCATTAAGATAAACTATTGGGTTGGGAATAGGAATAATTATATATCAATAATTCCATTGAATAGAAGATTTAATGTTTAATTTATTCTTTTTTTTATATTATAATAAAGAACTTCAAGTAGAAAACTTGAATTTTAAGTGTATACTGCATAAAGACGAATTAAGTTTAATTAAAATATAGTGTCGGGGATCTAATAGATTATATAAAATTTAAAATAAAAAATTTTCTCGTGCGCTCATTTAGAAAAGGAATATCAGTTCCTGATATACTTTAAAAATATCGGGTTCACGATATTACTATAATATCGATACCTGAAGGAATCTAAAAAATATCATGCTCCCGATATTACTATTTATTATCATATACCCGATATTAATAAAATATCGGGCACCTGAGATCAAAACAAAATTTATCGCATAGCTATCGGGCGCATTATAAAATTTACAAAAGTGCTATCAGGCCTTTAAAAAAAAATGCAGATATTGGGCATCCGATATATATAAAAATATTTCATGTGTCCGATGATTTCCCGATAATCGACCGATATTTGAAAATATCAGGGGGCCGATAGGTATCCGATAGATATCTGATATTCGAATTTTGACCTGTGTAAGATATACCAATACAGTAATATATCTCTATTGATATATTTTTGTAATAAATTTTCATAATTCTTTTAATAAACTGTTCTATACTTCTTGACAAGTTACTCCAAAAAGTTTGTTAAATTTTGATAGTGTACAAAGTATATAGTAAAGATATTTTTACTCCACTTGCTTACTGTACCTTCAGATATTACACGTAATTGCATTGTTTGTGAGTATTAGTAAACAGGTTTAGATCAACTAATTACCTGTCTTGCTGTGTTTTAGGATATTGCACACAAGAAAAAGTGTGTTAGTAATATATTAAATTATCATGTGATTGATTCAAATTTATTGAGACTGATTGGCTTAACTTTCAACTTGTTTTGTGCAAACCACAACACCATCTAGATTTCTCAATTACATAAGTCTTCTGAAATCTAAGAATGATAAAAATTTTGAAAAAAAGAATTTGAAGAATTAACAAAATCTACTTCTGCTTCAAGTGTTGGTAAGTATCAATTATATCAATATTCTCATCCATTTTATTTTTTATAATTATTTTTATTTAGTTGCATCTGAATTATATGTACCTGATTTTTAAATATTTTTAGATATTCTTAGAAATTTTATAATTATTTTATATAATATTTTAGCTGTTACAAATTTTTAGTTGAAAATTTTTCGAAGAAATAATTATTATAATAATATTCATTTTAATTTGTATAAGTCTAACATTATTAATTGTTTATTTTATTTTATTCATATTTTATTGTTAATAATATTATTTTTAAAAATAAAAATTTTAAAAATATTCAATGATTTTTTTTTGTAAAATTTTTCTGTTCTGAATTCAAAGATATTCATCATATACATAGAAACATTATTAAAAATGACTTGGCGTAATTGAGTTTTTTTGTCCATATTATATTGATTGATCAAAGTGAGATAAAAAAAAATTTTGATAGTCTAATTCAAGAGTATACAGTGTATTAAGAAAGTCTTTGGGCATGATTTTACTTGATGAAAATCAATTATCTAATTCGTCCATTTTAGGTTACAAACCTTGTGACTTTTATATTATTAATTGATTATCATATTGATCTTTTTCTCTTTGTACAGTATATACTTTGAGCTCGAAGTTACGTAAGATGCAGAATATAGAAGTTTTTAGTTAACTAATTTAGAAATATGCACTTGATTTCACGACTCATTTTCTTGGATTAATGTAATGAGATAAAAGCTTGTGATCATAAATTCATTTTTTTTTTAATAATAATACATCTGGGTAAAATATACGAGACAGTTACATTTTGGTATTAGGTCCAAATTATGCTTTTTTAAAAAAAAAGAAAATTCTAATAAACTTTTATTAATAGATTAGGTAAATTTTCATATACGATAAAAAAAGACTATTTTACCATTCGATCTGAGTGTAAGCTCAGAACTGATGGCCAAAACCCGATCAAATGTATTTATTGTATTTATAACTATAATTAATATTAAATTTGCTTTCCCATTTTCCAAAATTATGTATCGGATGTTTTTTTAATTGTTCTATTTTATTATATTTCCCTTCAATTGGTTCTGACTTGTAATTATATCCTTCGTTACATTACATTCGTACGAAAATTCATAAAAATTCGGTATAACGAATATTTTTAGAAATTCGTTATATATTTATTAATAAAATCAAAATTTATAAATTTATAAATTATTGTTTGCCGTAAGAGACTTGCGTTTGTTTTTTGGCATTTCAAAAAAAAAGGAGATGCAAGAGATAAAAAATTCATTATTGATTTTTAAAAACTAAATTTGATAAATTTGCTTGATTGGTAAAGATGCGATTGCAACGATAGGGGTTGTAACCACCCTCCTTAATCTTTATTAGAGTTATTATAATTTTAAAATAAATTTACAAAATGTGGAGTGATTTTTCATTAAGATATTCTTAGAACCATTTGAAAGCGCTTCTCGATGATAGTTTAGCTTCAGAATTCGCTAAGTTACTATTGTACGAGAATAATACCTTAAAATTGTTCTAGATTTGCATTCTATAATCTGTTACTTTTTGGTTTGAAAAAAAAATCACGGAGGGTTGATTGTATCTTGTTTTTTTTTATTTAAACATGGGTATTGATGACTAATTGGAAATTAAATAACCTCTTCCGAATCTCAGATCAATAGTTTTCCCATGTATTTCTTTCAATTAATATATCGGGTCGGGAAAAAGAGTCATAAATTTGATTTTTATGTCAGACAGACACACATAATAATTATGCAAATGTAAATATATTAACTTTTTGAGCATTGCTTTTTTTGTTTATACTTGTTAAAAATAAAAATGCGAAAATTTTCTCAAAATTCAAAAAAGAAAGGTTAAATAAATAAATTTAATATTAATAATAATTTATATTATACCTCTAAACATATTTATCATATAATCTTACATCACTTCAGATAATAACCGTCTTATAAAATGGAAATCTCACGAATTTCCGACTCTTGATAAAGAACAAGTTCAATCTTGGACCCCCGAACAACTTGTTGCTCACCTTTATTCAATATTCAATTTACAAAGAAATTTTCAAAATGATCCATTTATAAAGGATTTATTGCAAAAATTCAAAACAATCGAAATTGATGGTAATAGATTTTTGGAAATGGACAGAAACGATTTTTTAAGAATCGTTAAAGAATGCCGAAATCCTAAAGGGTATATAATTGGATTATTGGAAGGGGAGATGTTTAGATTAAACGGTACATTCTATTATTTTTTTTTTTCTTCATTACCTTTTATCTTGCAATTGAATTAATTTTAATTTATTTTTTAGGTCGATATTGTGAAGATATTTATCGTGATCCTGTTGGTAATTATAATAAAAATATTATTAATATTATTTTCTTTGATTATAATTAATTTTATATTTATTAAAATGTCATAATTTGTGTCATAATTTGCTTTTGGAAATAGAATTTATCTATAGACAAAAAGAAAAGAATCTCCCTCACGTAATTTATTAAAAAATATCTTGGTTAATCAATAATTTTAAAAATCATTATATTATATAAAAATAATTATATACGAAAAATAATTATTTTAGGCAGTTTCATCCAAGCAGAATAATTAATTCCGATAAAAGTTTTCATTGTTTACTTGTTAGAAATTTGGATATAATCCCTCCTTCTCATGACATCCGTCGATATTTAGCCAGTCCTTTAACATTACGAATTCCTATACCTTCAATGTATCTTCGTGAAAATTTAAACCCGGGAATTTTTTGTTACTTGATTGCTCAAGAACAATGCTTGAATCAATCTAATTGCTTAATGACTGCTCCAACTTTATCTTTACCTTTCCTCACTGCTCTAACTTTTCCTTGCGTAATTAATTCTCAAGATATCGTTTTATTAAATTACACACTAATTATTGATGCTCTAATTCAAGGCACTTTCAATAGTTTTCAACAATTCGAAAATTTTCAATGGCTTTATATTGCTCGAACTACCACCAACATCACTTCTTGTTCAACTGAATCCCCTGAGGATTCACTTCGTCCTGATTGGATGTGTTGGATTAATAAACTTTTACTTGTATTTCAAGGAATACAACTTTCCGAAGATACAGAATGGCAAATTGGGATCTACAAATTAATGTCTAAAATTCATTGGAGATCAATGTATTATGCTAATTTACCATATACTTTCGCCTACATTTCAAAAGGTCCAAAATTAAGGTTTTATTTATATCGACCAAATTTTCATCAAACTTTCACACCATTAATTCAAATATCTCAAGAATTTGATTTGGATTCCATAATGGATCGACTTGGAATTATAAAGACAACTCTTAATATTTATTCAATTTTCAAAACCATTAAAAGGCAATGGAATCATTTCACAAAAATGACAATATTTCCTTCTTCAACCATTAATCCATTATATTTATCAATTCAAAGAAATGGTGAAATTACAATAGAATTTCTTGGAGAATTTGTTAGAAAAACTGTATCAAAAAATTTTATGAATCTTTATTTCGATTATAAAGTCTTATGTGAAATTTATCAAGACACTAGATTCATTAAGAATTTGGTACATTGCGTTGACAATGATTGTAATTATTCAACACCTATAATGAAACAAGATGGTGGATGTAAAATATTGATTCATCCAGTTGGATATAATTATTATCCCAAAAATGAAAATGAATTAAGGAATTGTTTTAAGACTATATTGGAAGTACTTCGAGATATGCACAATGTAGGATGGACACATCGAGATATTCACTGGGGAAATATAATGAGACAAGAAGATAATAATAAAGCTGGTGAATGGTTATTAATTGATTTGGAATTGGGTAGAAGAGTTAATGATATCTTGGATATCACTTTATGGAACAGGTGGCCTAAGGAAGCTGAAAAAGGGAAAATATATAAAGCAAATTATGATGTTTGGCAAATATGGAGAGTAATACAAGAAAGGGGTGATGATACTAAAGGTTACAGTAAGAAATTTTGGAGTTTTCAGGAAATGATTGGAAGAGCGGTTAAAGACGATATTAATGCTGAAATTGCATTAAAACACGAGTGGTTTGGTGGTAAGTTTAATTTGATAAACAAACTTTTAACATATGTACATTGAACAATTTATTTTAAGTATAAACTTTTTTTTTTTTTAGAATAACGCTATCGATGTTTTGATTACAAATCTTCAGGGATGATCTATATTTGCGCCAATAGCATTAAATGAGCAAATATGTTGTTTGCATTATTAAGTTTATTAAGTTTATTAAATTTAACTAACAGCAAAAATACCTCATTATGTCATAAATTTGTCTTAAATTATTAATGGAAAATTTTATAACAAAATAAACGTATAAAGTCTTTACATTTTCAAAAAAAAAGTTTTTTTTTAAAAAAAAAAAAAATGTACGAGAAAAAATCTTCAGAAAAATTTTCGTTAGAATCGCAAATAGTAAAAGCAAATTTATCGTTATCGGGTTTAAGTTGTGCAAGTTGTATTCATTCAATTGAACAAGTTCTAAAAAAACTTCCAGGCGTATTAACAAATTCAATCCACGTAAATCTACTTATGAGCAATGCCTCTCTAGAATTTGACAGGTCAAAAGTTTCTATGGAACAAATTAAAACAGCGATAAATGATAGTGGATATAAGGTGAAAGACGCAAATATTGAAGAAGAAAAATCACAAAGTCAAAATGAAATGCGTGAGGAAAATACGGAAAACGTTATTAGTATAATAGATTCTGACACAAATCAAATTGAAAATGTGACGATTACAATGTTATCAATTGATGGAATTTCGTGTGCATCATGTATAAACACCATAGAACAAGCTATCAGACCCTTGACTGGTGTAAAGCATATTCATGCTAATCTTCTTACTAGTGAAGCCATCATAAAACACGACAATAATAAAATCGGTCCACGTGATTTAATAAAGGCTCTTGATGAATTGGGATACGAATCTCAACT